CACCTGTTATGCCTCTGTTTAACCAGCCTGCTAAGCAGTCATGAGGGCCTGATTATCCGAGCCCTTGTTGAGAGTTCTAGCGTATCTGCTTGTGTTTAGATCGCCGGACCCGTTTTACCTTTGGACCTCTGAGCCTGGCTGTTCCCATTCTGATCTGTTTGCCTGACCTGTTTTTGGACTCCTGCCTGTTTGCTAAACTTGGAACTTTTTCCTGTGACCGTCCTGGATTTCCCTCTGGAACCTCTTTGGACTTCTGATCTCTTCATTCTGAATCCTGAGCATGTCCTCGACCCTGGCTTTGGCTTCGTCCTCTGGATTTTCCTACCCTTCTTCCTCTTTCTGGACCTGGTCTGGACGCTTGTTCTCTGTCTTCCAGGGCTGCAGCGTCTGGGAAACACTGGGCGGCGCCCACAGAATCCTGTTGGCAGTCCACTGGATGGATCCTACCTTGTTCTCTGGGCTCAGACTGAACTGTTAAACCATGTTATTGACTCATGTTCATAATCTTCCTCCGCCAGATTTACATGGTCACTAACCTTTGTTTCCTTTCTGCAGAGGCTCCTGTGATAGATGCCCTACTTCTGTCGATCAGTTTTGAAATAAATGCCTTTTGATTAATCGCACTGTCTGTCTGCCTTCAATACTGGGTCATCCATTCTTAGTTCTGACATTAAATGAGGCAAACATGTCATAAAAAATTTATATAGTTTTATTAATTTTGGCATGCTGTAAATTATCTAAAGCTTTTCAATAGATAATGTGAAAACATATATTGGAATTGCAGGAATGCTTTAATGTCTGGTGTTATCTGTTGGTTCAGAACCGCTGTCCCCTACAGCCAATCAATGTCGAAGAGGGGTATCAGCAACGACACCCCAACAATATCCAGAGACCTAGGCTACTCAGGGCTGCTGTTGGGAATATTACTTAAAAAAGTAACTATTAGTATTAGGGATGCACGATATTGGGATTTTGGCCGATATCTGATATGCAGATATTTTAAAACTCATGTAGCCGATAACCGATATCGATACTGATGTTAAAGCTGGACAAAAATAAGTAGTCATTGAAAATAGCAGTTTTGTTATCCATTTCTGACACTTTGAAAAATAAT